ATTTACGAATTTATTTGTGTTCGCATAACGCATTAATATGTAATTATAGTTTATGAAACCCGGAAAACAGACAGTTGGTTGCTTTGAATGACATGATTTTTGTTTTCATGTTACAAATAAAAATGTCTTCAATTATAAATGTTATTAGCCTACTTTATTTAGATTTACATTTTGATATTATCTGTCAGTACTTTTTAGTCTCTAAATATAATAATATGCACCCTTAAATATGTGTGTGTGTGTGTGTTTTCCTGTGTCAATAATATCGTCTAATCAATAATTTTATGTGTTTCGAAGTAGGATCTTGTCGTTTTTCGGCATCGAGCTTGGATAAAATAAATATGTTCGCATATGAAAAAGATTCCATGTTTACTCGAAAATGGTCAAAGTTTTTTTTTTAATAGGTTTAAATGCTTATATTTCTTATTTAGGTTTTTTAATAACTTTTATACTAAAATCTGTGTTCAATTAAATTAAAAAAGTTGTGGCTCGAAACTTTGAGTTTTATTACGGCCATAAAATGCTTTCCAAAAAAATTCTTCATTATAAAACCAATATCCAATACAGCTCGCTCACTCCACTTTAACTCTAAAAGAAAAAAAACAACTACCACATTTAACGGTATCCCATCAACTCACTAGGTAGCCATTTAATCAGCTATATTTTCTTTATAGAGGAAAACATTTATCAATTTAGACGCATAAAATCAGCATTCAATTATGTTAACATAAAATGGTTTTGTGTTCGAAACAACTATTTTGATATTTCTACTGTGGTTTTTCAACAGTTGTATTGAAAATGGCAAAATAATTAACATAATAAAATATACTGTTACCGCATTACCGAATTACCGAAATAACATATTAAACCATCCAGTAGCATACTTATTGAGATAGGTTATTGAATGTCAATACTAATCTCAACTTTAGGTTGTGTTCAAAAGTCTGAAGTACACATTTTCCTTATTTGAGTACCCAAAACAACTCTTGCGTTCCAAAACACATTATTCGAAATTAAACAACGGGTTACGTGATATTTCACAGAACCGCAAGACGAATTATTGTAATACACATGTACGTTTATTTTTCTATATAAATTTAATGTCTGTGACTTTGACAGCTCTAAATGATACCGCACCACGACCCGAGTTCGGATGAAGTTATGTCCAAACCGTAATGCGTTTAGGTTTTTTCGTTCCGCGTAAGTGCCTTTTTAATCCAACACTTTCTTGATACCGCCGCCGCCGCCGCCTCCGCTTGGTTTTCGCTATATTGGAGTTCACATTTATATATATTATTTTCTAAACATTTTTTCGTATAAAACCTCCACCACTCCTCCCACGGCACGATAAAACGTCTTCGCCCCCGCAAGATATTACTGCGTCGCTCGGCGTTGCGCACTGCCTCTATGGTATTTACACAATGATGACTTGAAGAAGAAGAAAAAAAAGTATATTTCATTTCGAGAGCTATCCGTCGTATATACATACGTAATATATTAATATATATATATATTATATATAATGTATAAGTGTATGAAAACGCGAGACGGAATGGTGTGGCACGCGGGGGGAGGGGTAGTATAATAGTGAGGCTTCCCCTGTAATGTTATACGAATTTATGCATACTTTCCACTATACTATTTCGCTCCATTGCGGGCGGAGGTGAATCAAAAACCCATCCATCAAAAGTGCAATTTTCGTATTCATTCATCGTGTTTTAAAATCCACGACAATTTACGGTGCCCACTATTATAAAGTCAACTGCATATTTTCAATATTCGTCATATTTTCGTCCCTCATCATTATTGTCACTGCAGTATGCTCTATGCACAGCGGCGAATGGCAGTCGATATGGATGCACTTAATTAGAAAATCTTATTACCCGGAACACTTCCGGTTTCCGGTATATATCTGCATTCTGCATGTCTCATAAACACATTGTACGTGTATATAATATAGGTACTCACGAAGTACGCTTCGTATTTATTATGTGTACTTACGTCGTACGATCAGCTCGTGGCGTCGAAGACTGGCGGATATTGATCGTAGGCAACAGCAGCAGCAGCTATTGAGTAAATCTCACAATTTTTATTACCTTTTGTAAATTGCAAGTTTCGAACGCGCTCGGCCTACAACTCATTTATTTATATAGACACTGGTATTTCTTAAACATTTCGTCGATAATTATATTCTAGATGAGATATGTATTTAGATATTCGACTCCGAATCATGAATAATATATGATATTCTGCTGTTAATAGTTACACATAACATTATATTATATTATGATATCCGATAGGTGATATGAATATTTTTGGAACAATAATTCTTCGTTTCGTTGGTTGTCACAATATTTACAAAGTGAATAGATTAAAAATAAATTTGACGGTTTACTATACATTGTCTTGCTGGGCAGTCTCATTGAAGTTAGATTGAAAAGCGGTATCCTGAAAATTCAGGTGAATGCAAAGAATCCGACAGCCAGGTTCGGACTGTCCACAAGTACCTACATCAAACAAATAAAATGGACTATTATACATTTATGTCTAGACGAGTAATACATTTTATAACCGAAATGAGTGAGTCGATTTTTTCTCGTTAATATGCAGTCCAAAGTTTTATGGTATTATTAATCGATACTCTGTTGTTAGAATAATAATATATTAAGCCTTTTAATTTGGAAATTAACTATATAACATACCTACTTGGAAAATATTAGCTACTCGACGATTGAACCCTTTTATACCAACTGTTAGTATAACTATTTTGTCACACGTTTCCAACTTAGCGCGTTATTATTCTCTCAATAAAAATGTTAATTAGGCGTAGGTAGCATAATAACCATTACAGCAAAGTACTTCGATGAAGATTCGCTTTCAATAATAAAATAACCATACACCTATGCTTATTCAACCACAGCACGTACATCACAATTTTTTATGCTGCAAACTGCGTAGTACATTCTAGTCAAAAACCATATCCATTACATAATAATAAGTGAACGGATAATGGATATTATACATACACATTATAATTTTATTATTATGGGGTGTCAAAAACTTGATAAAATATATTTTTAAAGCTATCTCTGGGACGTCTACATGGGGGGGGGGGGGTATTAAGAATAACCCGAATTTATCAATGAGACTTTTTTTGATCATTTTTGCAGATCGATGATAATACATAGTAAAATGTGCTTACTAGAAATAGTTTTGTTACTTATATTAGTTTTCAATTTTTTTTGGCATCTATAGGAATTAATAATTATTAAGGCTACTTTAGGTTAGTTTGGTATCTATAATATGGCAGAAGAGGAGATTGTTCACACAGAGCCTCTTCTGCTGCCGGTTAAACGGAAAAGAAAAAAAATGTTATCTATAGTAATTTAAATAAGTTTTTACATTTTTTTTGTAAAAATAGTCTGAAATACTCTTAAGTTTTATATTTTTCATAATATATCGATTGGAAATTTCACGTAGTTGATACTCTGTTCATTATTATTATTTTTTTTTTTGCCAGATTTTTATTCGTAAAAAAAAATTATTGTTAAATTACAAAATATTTACGTACATACGCCATTAGCTAAACAGATGCTGTATTTTAATTTAAAATATAATATCCCTAAATATTTGTTTTATTATTTAATAGAGTTAAATTTGTATAAAATTTTTTTTATATTTTTGTTTATCCCAGTAAAAACTGTTGAATATTTTAATTTTTGGATTATTTTTATTGTTCTAAAATGCGTTATTTTATTTAAGTGCCTAAACATGCAATAACTATAAAACATTTATGAAAAGACAGAAGTTAAATTTTTTAAGGATTTTTTTAGTTTTTATTGACATCCAAACTGTTTTTTAGACTATATGTGTGTTAAAAAAACATTCTATTAATTAAATTCGTTTTCTTAGGTGCAAGCTCTGCTTTAAATAAATAAAAAGAACTCGGATTTATATATTCAGTAAATGTTTTGATTGCATGATCATAAATTACTTTTGTGAAGGGAAACATTAATCGAAACGATGACTAGGTAATCGCAAGTCAACAAATTATTATCAATATTGTCACACAAACGTTAATTAAACTCTATTTGTATTGTTTAGTATTACATCTAACCAAACATTTTTTTCTCCATAATTCGTTGACGGATTGAGAGCAATAATAAAATCTGTTTGGACCGCGAACATCTGTAATTAATTATACTTCCGTCCCAAAACCTGGCTGACCCATTTTTATTAAACGAATAACTACCATCAATCAACTAAACTGAACAGTTTGAACTCTTTCTAGTTTTCCACATTCTAATTATATGAACAATTTTTTTCCTAGTGTATAAAAATAAACCACCAACATCAGTGTTTTGAATTTTATTATTAATGTTCTGTTTATTTTTTCAAAATAATAGTTTTTGTCGCCATCATAAACTGGAATTTTCATTGAGTCTGCGTTTTTATACGATCCAATAAAAGTTGTATTTATTTTAATTGAATACGATTTCTGCGTTATTCATTTACGGTTAAACATTAAAACCAAGATGTATAGGTTCGGATAAAAATCGTTAATTCATAAAATAATATAAACAAACATAAATTAAGGACAAATAAAAACTTTTGATAAAAAAAAAAAAATAATGATCATAGCTGATATGACATATGTATTATCAAAATATAGTATGTAATTATTGTAATACATTAAATGATAATATTATTATAGTTGAAATTAAATCGAAGGAAATTATTTCAAATAAATATTTATGTATAATATTATTATACGTATGGAGATACGTATAACCGGCAGATTTATAAAAGCATTTTTACATAATAACATCAACTTTCAAAAGTGCTCAAATGTATGAAATGTTGGCATTTGATAGAAAATAACGCCCATTAAAACGCAACGTACTTATGTAATATTATTTTATCGTATTTGTGTTTGCCAAGAATTAACCATAATGGTATCGTATACATACATATATTTACATTGGTTGTGTTTTTTTCAGGAGTATACATTTTAGCGTGGAAAAAAGGAATTGCTGTGCTAACAGCAGGAAGCACTAAGGTGTCTCCAGACGAAAGGATACGTCTAGTGGACGGCAATAACCTGGAAATCCGTGATATTCAAACAAACGACGCAGGAAATTACGTGTGCCAAATAGCAACTATGAAACCCAGGGAGATATCACATACCGTCGAGATATTGGGTAAGCTATATATGTCTCAGTAAACATAAAATATACACATACTTATACAGCCGGTACGATCTAATGTCGTTTTTATATTATTTTATATACTGCATAACACATGTATGTTTGTATACACCTGTATACATTGAATATACATAACAAATAATACGTAAGTGTGCACATATTATCATTGAATACATCAAAAGCACAGCGCATACGGGTACGTCATTATTAAACAAAAATGTGAATACTACACACGATAAGCCAACCAATCAAAATACCCAAATATCGTCGTGGTAGCGGTTGCGAAAAGTCAAAGTTTAAGTTGGAAAACAAAAACATTAAATATTCGCTGTAATAGGGTTTTTTACATAATACACACGACGAATTCAAAACTGCAACTGTTTGTATACTAAACGCGTTTTCTACTCACCTAAATCTTATCGGCCGCCGTATATAATAATAATAATAATAATAATAATAATAATGATGATAATATATTATGAACACGTTCGTATTACGTCGTGATACGTCCTGCTCAATCGCATTAAAAGCGAACGCCGATTAAAAAGCAAAAGTAATCCTCTGGGAGCGAGCGATCTCTGAACACTTAGCGTTTCGTCCGTGTATTGCAGTAGGGACGAATAGAACAATTGGCGAGTGTACGAATAATTATTTGACACGCGAGTACCCACCCCGCCGGCGTTTAATATTTATGCGAAGCTTCTGGCCGAGAGCAGTTCCCTCCCCCGTAGTTGCCGGAGCACTATATTTCGCGATGATTCCCCATAGAGCTTTCGGATAATACGATAGACAGAGGGAGAGAGGGGGGGGGAGTGGTAGGTGGATAGATGGAGAGAAAAAGAGCTACAGCGCGAGAGGATGAGAGATAATAGAGAGATGGTGAGAGGGAACGAAAGAAAGAGGAAATCATCGAAAATTCACACGACCATATAGACGGTTTTAGTGTTCTTACATAATTAATGAATACAGCAGAAACCCTTTAAAAAAAAAAAACTGATATACGCTATTAAAGTCTAAGCCCTCTTTAACTTATCCTTTAGGCCTTGGTCATGACCATAACACTAGGCCGCCACACATATAGGTATATTTTTTTCTCTGGAACCAGCTCCTGGTGGACCAATAAACGAGTTGTGGCGTATGGAATAAAAATTATTACGTCTTGGAAGCTGTTGTAACGCGAATTGCTTGAACTATTATTTTGTGTTTAATTCATAATTAAATCGTCACGTTTTCCTTTAGTTCGCTTAAGCATCGGCTGGAAAAATATCCAAACCAAACATGTCTAAGAAGAGAATTTTGAATGTTACGAGAATGAACATTCGTTATTGCTTTTTCTGCGATCCTACAAAAATAAACATCAAAGCGAATTTCTGTCGCTCGTGCCTTTTCCTATTCGCGGAAGTGACCGCAAATGTTTTTTTGTCGTTCTCCATATATCGTATGATAGATGGATTTGAGTTGTTGTGATATTATATAAGAAATGGCATCGTTTCCGGGAAAATCTTCTTCGTCGGTTTTCTCAGACGACGACGAACTAGACATATTTCGTTCCGAAATTCCGCGGCGCAGTTTCCCGCACTTCATCGCGTCTACAACAGAACACGACATTATCACGTTACCACCTGCGCCTCGCTCGTTGGAAAATATGTCATATAACTCACGACCACAAGTCGAGAACTGCTTTTCTCCGCGATGTTACAATATGTGGGATTTCCCGCCTAACAAAGATGCGTTTTGGAAAATTCCGAAAAACTCTGAAATAATGTAATATAGATACAGCGCGTGCGTCGTGGTGCTCGAACGTAATCGCGTTGTTACCACAAATAATATGTTTTGCAGTATTTGTGTTTAATTTTTTAACCCGCGGAGTGGGTAGATTTTGTTTTTTACTCCGAAATTTGCTGCACCGTACTCTACCGTATTTTCCATGATATTAAAAACCACGTAGCACACGCAATTCTTACTCGACTAATTTATTTCGTCAGATGCTCTATTCGTCGACAACTCCGTTGACAACTACAGTTTTGGGAAAAACGCACCGGACATAGATCTATATATTATCGTCTGTATAGTTGTTGTGTAAGCCACCAGTCGCTGCATCAGTACCGCGTGTTCGAGAAAACGAAAAACGCGAGCCGTAACACAAAAATGCTAATTGCGTTTATGATTAAGCTCTTCCGGCGCGATTATATAGGTGCCCGGCACAATCAATCATACGGTTGGTGTTGAGCAGAGCGAAACGCTCTAAGGTATTCGCGGTTAATACCAAATGTAACGTTATCTACAATAAACATTATAATGACGTATAGTGTGCGGAAACTGGACGTTTTCTTTGCGAACAATTTCAGGACGATTTACGACTGCGACGGCGGTGAATCGTGTCACGCAACGATACCGCTGCAAAATGGTCGAAAAAATCTTAAACCGATGAATACGTATAGTTACCAATAGCTGCAGCATTGTCCCGTAGTGTCGACGGAGAAATTTTAATTAATCTATAACCGTTGGATCTGAGTCCGTTAAACCACTAGGTACGTATAGTCATTGTTTAAAGTTTCAAATAATTAAATCGTAATTCGTAGTCATCGAATCCAAGTAAAAAAAATTGATAAATACGAACAGTAGGCTCTCACGCGTATTATTTCTTTAGAGTAGAGCACCTTTTTACTTGTCAAATATAATATATCGTTCATAAATTGTGTTCTATAATACGCGTTTTTGAAGCTTACATTTTCCGGCCTCCACAATGGTTATAATGAAGCGAATCAATTTTAAATGACCAATCAATATTCGTTTAACGTGTAAAATTAAAAACACTTAAAGGAGCAGTCGAATCCAAAATCGAAAAAATAAGAACAACGAGATGCGCTGCGTTTTATATCCATGCAATCCGACGTATAATATATATTATTATAATGTGTGTTTTTGTGAAATGGACAGACCACATTTTCTTCGTAGACCGATCATTTGTTTTTTTCTGTTAATAATATTTATCTTTTTGCCTTTACTGTTTACGCGCACGGTATTATTATCAGCGGCATACGATATTATGCGTGTTTTCGAATATTGTGCGTCGGTTTTCGTCGTTATCAATCTAATAACGATGCCTGACGAATAAGTACCTCTATATACACGCGATACGTCATAGACAATATTTATCTCGAAAGACCGAACACGGTCTGATGCTATAACATCCATTCCGAAACCGCATAACTTATTTAGGGCGCCATTATCAACGGAGAGCCGTGACACGAGCTTGTGTATAATACGTACAATAATAATATGTACATAGGTACACTGGACGACAAACCCCGAGGCACTCAAACACAATGGCGCACACAATAATAAGATTTTCGTATTGACAGTGGTCCAATTCGGGATAATTTTAATGCGGCCACGTGACCTAAAACACGACGGCGGCGGCGTCTTCGCAATATCTATTAAAACATTATTAATTAACGGCAATCCGAGTTCGCCGCCGGTCCGTGCATTTATTTAACCTGCAGCTGCGTACACACAGGTACCCTCCGCCGGCGGTGCATCTGCAGGTGTATTCCGGTGGACAATCACGAGGACGTTCAATATTATAGTCTTGATTTTCCACGGTTTTGCGTTTTCCGTCGTTCGCGGGAGGGGGGCGAAGACGAAATATTGAGCTTAAACCGTCTCGAAACGATGCTGGAGCACCTCCCCGATTTTTCGTTTGGAGCGTTTGTACCGTGTATTATATTATTGTGTAGGTGTAGCGCATTACGTCAATATATTCAGTGTTCGCATAGCAGTATTATTGATAAGACTTTTTTCTCCGATAGATACCGATTCATCGTACGATATTAGAAATTATTATGAATTCGTGTCACACGATATTAATCTTTTGCGTAAATACTGTATCGTTGAAAATTCGTATAAATTCAGAGAAAAAAAAATACGACAACTATAAACATTATACTTTCCCAAACATTCGAAATTAAATTACAATCACAACACAATCAATACGTTATATTATTTTCTTGATCATGATATATTATTATATTGTATAATATAGGTAAACCGTTATGTGCAGTAACAGTTGATCGATTGCTTTATGGGCACAGCATAACACAAATTATACACAGAAAGTGATTCACCAAGCATCATGCTAACCCACCTCCTACACTTTTATAATGCAGTCATTTTGTTTTTGGAATATTGTTTAATATGTGAAAATACCATATTTTTAGATTGTTTAAACCATTTAAGAAGGGCCTCGGGCATCTTGTATGTACTACATTTTTACAAAGAAAAATCATTATCTTCTAATTTAAATTTAATGCTGAATAGATAATTTTTTGAAAGTCTTAATGCATATATTGTGAAATGAAGTCAAGGAGTTTCTAAGATACTTAAAACTACACGTACCAAGAGTACCTATAGGGTTAAAGATACATCATCTATAAAATGCATCTAATAATCAGCCAAGTAGAGGTATCTACTTATTGTACTTTGATAATTTTTCCTAGCATAAAATGCTATTATAATTAATATTACTATAATTTTCAAATCATAATAAAATGTTACTAATAACATTATATGTTCATCTATTTAAACCTATTGCTGTGGAGTATTATTCCTAACACATAATAGAGCTCAATGACTCGGAAACTACCTTCTCTTTTGATTTTTGATTTACGTTGTTAAATACATGCATTTTTAAATACAACGCTCAACAATTATAACTGTGTAAATGGGTGGTCCTCGAGAAGAAAACGTAAATCTCTATATCGTCAGTCCTTGAATCGGCGTAAGAGGTATAATTATTTGAAAACAATGTGGTCCGTTAGTATACTTGAAAATCAAAAATTCGAAATTAGAACAAATTCATTGTCACCAAATACAAAAAAAAAAGGCGGTGTGAGCATATGCTCGGCGAATCACCCAGCAGTCACCCTTTAAGTACAACCGGCCGAGTACAACTAAGGCCGATTTCAGATAAATTAGATATTCCTCCGGTTATA